AATCTTTGGAATTCTCTGTGTTTTGGGGCAACATATTCTTTATGAGGCAATTCCAACATGATACTGTTTTCATTCTCTACATGGATTTTAAAACTGGTCCTTCCATTCCTCTCACACCCTTCCCTAATACCACCAAGCCCTCCCTGTCCAAGGGTCCAAGGGTCCAGGGTTCCACCAAGCTGTTTTTGAATATATTTAAAAGTAGAAATTGACACATTTCTAAGAATCAATGACAGAAAAGGATAGGAGGATCATGTGGGGACAAGGCTTTGATCCAGGTGAAGAACCATTTCTGTATTGAATAGTCTGAATGGCCTACTCCTGCTGTTATTCCTATTTTCCTAGCTAGGTGTCCTGGTAAATGAATTACAAGAAGTTAGTATGCAGGTAAAGCAATTGAACATTGTCATTTATCACAAGGGAAGTAAGATATAAAATTAGGGATGTTTGCCTACACTTGTGGCGAGACCAAAGGCAGAAATTTATGGGGCCCCCAGAAAGAACATTGTCAGACAGTCGACAGCTGACAGGCTCACAAGAACCTGCCCTGTTTCCATGAAATGCCATAAGTGCAGAGTTGACTTCTGCCTCTCACTGCAAGTCCCACTGAAATAATTCCACAGAAACTGGTACCCCATCACCAAGTCACCCCTTATTTACACGTAGAAAGTCCTGGACTCTGGCACAGCCTCGTCAGAGTTAGCATCCAGAATGTCAGAACCTCTGATACTCCTGTTTATATTTGTCAGCCAGGGATCCCTGATTGGACCAGATTAACCATATTCTATGAGGTCTAGCTGGCTGACCACGTTACAATCATTAAACCCACCCTCAGGAGCTGCCAATCAGCACCTCCGTCAGTCCTAGCAGCGCCAAATTTCAGTAGTGGGGGCTATCGGTACTGCAACAGTCCCAGAATGAAGACCTTGGTGGAACCCTGGACCCAGATAACTAAGAGGCTTTAAACAGGGAGGGCTTAGTGGTATTAGGGAAGGGTGTGAGGGAAATAGAAGGATCAGTTTTAAAATCCACGTGAAGAGTGAAAGCACTATTGTGTTGAGGTTGCTCCAAAACATAAAAAGCACCTCCAAAGATACTACCCCTTTTCCTTTCCTGACTTTTTAAAACCTTGGAACAAAATAACAGACTGCCCAATCTCATTAATCAGAGGTGGATGGTATTGCCTCATCAGCCTTGCCATCCATTCATCTCCGTTGCAGCCTCAGGCCTAGCTGCCTTCAGAGACAATGTACTCATCTCTATCCATCATTGCTTTGCTGGAGTGAAAATAACATGTACATAGGTCTTCATATAGAGGTTGGTTTGCTGAGTCAGGAAATCCTTTTACTCAGAGTGGTGAGACTGTAGAACGTGGAATATGGTTGAGGTGAAAAGCATACGTATATTTAACGGGGAGCTACATATGTACACAAGGGAGAAGGAACAGCTATACTTAGAGAGCTGCATGAGGAAAGATGAGGGGAGGTTCAAGTGAAGTATAAGAACCAGCACGCACAAGGGCTGGTGGGAGATATGGCGCAGAAACATGCCAATGTAATCCAACGTTTAAAAAAAATCAAATTGCAATTTTACCTGGGAAATTATTTCTACATAGATTCAGTTTAACTCAGGCTCAGAAACGTATTGGAGCACAGACCTTCACATTTCAGGTTTGCTCCTTTCCACTGCCCTTGGGCAGAGCAGACTGATGTGTCATTTCCTGTTACTTGCATATAGCCAATCTGGCACTGGTACACAACTTTACTTCCATAGGTTGTGTTCACTCTTCGATGGGACAGTGTGTTCAGTAAAGATGGTGGTGATCCACAGTCAACAGCTGAGGAGAGACAAAACCAAAGTCAGTTTAATGTACTTTTGTGTGTATTGGTGAAGCATTTTTAAACCAGAAACCAGAACCTCCATATCAATCAATTTTCAAGAAGGAAGATCCAGAGAAAATAATGAATTCCATTGGCTTAAAGAAAAAGTGTGGCCTGGACACCGGGAGAAACTTTCTATTCACCTCTAAAAAGGATCAGGGGATTTGTAATATTCCTCAGAACACAGATGATGTCGCTCCTGAAATATGGCTTCTCCAAGCTTCTCCAACAATGCAGTACGGCTTTAAACTAGAAACATAGGTCTACAATGGGAGGTGAAGCCACTCCTAGCCCATTTAAATGTGGAAGTTAGACCAATGGATCCTTATTGAGCCCAGATATTCTTTATGTATATAGTTCTTTTTTATTCAATTGTGGGACATGGGCATCACTGGCTAGCTAGCATTTATTGCCTGTCCCTAGGTGCCCTTGAAAAGGTAGTGATGAGGTGCCTTCTTGAACCGCTGTATCCACATGCTGTCCGTAGACCCACAATGCCTTAGGAAGGGAATTCCAGGATTTTGACCCAGTGACAGCGAAGAAACAGTGACATATTTTGAAGTCAGAATGGTGAGTGGCTTGGAGGGGAACTTGCAGGTGATGGTGTTCTCATGTATCTGCTGCTCTTGCTCTTCTAGATGAAAAAGGTCATGGGTTTGGAAGGTGCTGTTTAAGGATATTTGGCAAATTTCTGCAGTGCATCTTGTAGATAGTGCACACTGCTGCTACTGAGAGTCAGTGGTGGAGGGAGTGAATGCTTGTTGGTGTGGTGTCAATCAAGCGGGCTGCTTTGTCTGGATGGTGTCAAGCTTCAAGTGTTGCTGAATTCAGAGATGATTGACTCAATTAGAAAAATAAATACACAAGAGAAAAATCATAATATAAAGTACTTGTTGGGAAATTATTTGTCTGTTCTTTCAGAGTGAATTTGTTTGGTAACATTTTGAAGCACTGACCTTCACATTCCAGGTTTGCTCCTACCCACTGCCCCTGGGCTGAGCAGACTGATGTGTAATTTCCTCTCACAGGGACATAGCCAACCTGGCACTGGTACACAACTGTACTTCCATAGGTTGTGTTGACTGGTTGATGGTACAGTGTGTTCAGTAAAGATGGCGGTGATCCACAATCAACAGCTAAGGAGAGACAAACCCACATTAGTGTGGAATATTTTCATTTGTGCAAGTGACAAACAGATAATGGAACCAGCTCCAGTCTCCTAATGATGATGTAAATAGATGGGTATTATCAGCATTCTAAACATATATTGCAACTGAGTTGTTATCATTTCAAATTGAGTCCTGAATTAACTTATGAGATTACCAGGTATTTTAGAGCTACCATCATTCTATTGCAGCACAAGAGCTGGTACCTGGTCCTTATAATAAAGAGCATTAATTGCACAGGAAATGCCCTCTCTGATAGCCGAACCAAATATTAAATGAAGGTCCACATTGTTGCTTGATTTGTTAAAGACAGAAGTTCACTCAGAACAGTGACCAAACCCAAACTATTTGTTTAGAAGTCAACTCATTTAATGCATTCCATGACAAATGTTAATATTTTGCAGAAGAATGGTCAGAGAAGTTAAAACATTGTAAAAACACAATGAAATGGGAGCTGACTTAAATAAGCACCTCGAAAACTTTGCTAGAATTTGTGTAGGTGGATCAAGTTATCCGGGGTGTGGACAATGGTCAACCTGGACTATCTCATCTAATGACAAAAGAGACACTAACAGTCTTAAAACCATTCTTGAGCACTGAACTGCGCATTCCAGCATCATCCCTTCCCATTTGTGTGTTTTGTCACACACCGGGAAGTTGAGCACCAATTCTCCGCCAACAAGTCCAATGTTGAAGGAGTGCTGCTCTGGCGATACATTAAAAGAAGGCTCCGTCTGTTATCTCAGGAGCATTAAAAGACCCCATGGCACAACTTCAGAATGAAAGCAGAGCAGTACTCCTTGGTGTCATACAGTCATAGAGATGTACAGCACAGAAACAGACCTTTCATACCAGATCTCCTAAACTGATCTAGTCCCATTTGCGAGCATTTGGCTCATATCCCTCTAAACCCTTCCTTTTCATGTACCCATCCAGATGCCTTTTAAATGTTGTAATTGTACGAGCCTCCATCTCCTCCTCTGGCAGCTTGGTCCATAGACGCACCAGCCTTTGTAAGAAAAAGTTGCTCCTCAAGTTCCTTTTAAATCTTTCCCCTCTCCCCTTAAACTTATGCCCTTTAATTTTGGACTCCCCTACTCTTGGAAAAGGATCTTGCCTATTCACCCTAACCATGCCGCTTATGATTTTAAAAACTCCTATAAGGTCGCCCTTCAGTCTCCGATGCTTCAGGGAAAAAAGAACCAGCCTATTCAGCCTGTCCCTATAGCTCAAACCCTCCAATCCTAGCAACATCCTTGAAAATCTTTTCTGAATCCTTTCAAATTTAATAACATCTTTCCTATAGCAGGGAGACCAGAATCGAACGCAGTATTCTAAAACTGGTCTCACCAATGCCTTGTACAGCCGCAACATGACGTCCCAACTCCTATACTCAATGCTTTGACCAATGAAGGCAAGCGTGTCAAATGCCTTCTTCACTACCCTGTCTACCTGCGACTCCACGTTCTAGAAACCATGCATCTGCACCCCAAGGTCCCTACCATTAAATGTATAAGTCCTGCCCTGATTTGCCTGACCAAAATGCAACACCTCACATTTATCTAAATTAAACTCCATCTGCCACTCCTCCAACCATCTGATCAATTATACTCTTGAGATCATCTTCTTCACTGCCCACTACAATACCAATTTTGTTGTTTTCTTAAAATTCATTTGTGGGATATGGGCATTGCTGGCTGGCTAGCATTTCTTGCCCATCCCTAGTTGCCCTTGAGAAGGTGGTGATCAGCTGCCTTCTTGAACCGCTGCAGCCCACCTGCTGTAGGTTGACCCACAATGTCATTAGGGAGGGAATTCCAGGATTGTCAACTGCAAATTTACTAAAATAGGAGATGAAACGACACCCAATGAGGATACCAATAAATGCACATCTTACAAAACTGTAGCAAAAATAAAGGCAGGAATTATATTGGAATTTTGACTTAAGTGTTCATAAAATTAGAAGAGGGAAGGAGGAGAAGGAACTCAAGCAGGTGATATAATTTTCAAAACAGGGCGGGATTCTCCATGGCACATCCCAATCCCATCAGCAGGTTGAAACATGGGCGCTGTGTGTGAAACAGTCACTCAATGCGACTTTCCCTGGAGTAACCAATTCATGGTCAGGGTCTTTCTGGCTCTCAAAAAATCAAGGGACGATTATTAACCTTCCAGCTTCACAGTAGCAGCATGATGCCAGGGTAATGTAAAGAGAGAGAGGGTGCTTCAAAATGAAGGGATTCCCCTCCGCAGCTGGAAATTTAAACTGGTCTTTGCAATAGAACAAGCACCGCGAGGAGTGGAAGGGAGATCTATTTCCCGGGGTGACTTGGAGTTGCTGCAGCCAAGCTGACAGTAAGAGCCCTCCACCCAGCCTTGGTTAAGGATAGGATTAAAGATGTCTTTCTGCGATTACATACAGATGATGTCTGGAGTAACTGCTCTCCTTACTTAGGGAAATTTACATACTCGTCACAGAGGACATTCAATGAACGTTCACCAAATTATTTCTTGGGATGGAGGGATTGTCCTACGAAGTCCCTACTTCCTGACTTGGAAATATATCACTGTCCCTTCATTGTTGCTGGGTCAAAATCCTGGAATTCCCTCCCTAATAGCATTATGGTTCAACCCCCAGCAGGTTGACTGCAGCAGTTCAAGAAGGCAGCTGATCACCACCTTCTCAAGGGCAACTAGGAACAGGCCATAAACGCTGGCCAGCCAGTGACGCCTACATCCCACAAAATGAATAAGTAAAAGTAAGATTAAAAAGATTGGGCCCATATTCTCATGGTGTAGATAAATGGGAGGTTATCTCAATCAAACATTAAAACATTCCTAAAGGAATTGAGCAGGTAAATGCAGGAAAAATGCTGATGAGGGAAGGGCGGGGAGTGGCTAAAACCAGGGGAATCCTGCTCTGAATAAGTGGAAGGCCATTTAGGACTGAGATAAGGAGGGATTTCTTCATTCAGAGAGTGGTGACCCTTTGGCATTATGTGGTATTCGTTGACTATTTTAAAGACACAGATCAATCAATTCCGACAGTACAAAGATTAAAAGATACAAGAATTTTGTGCAAAATTAGTGATGAGCTGCAAGATCAGTCATGATCACAGTGAATACCAGAGCTTGCTTGTCAGGCAGAATGGCCTGCCTCTGCTCCTACTTCTTAACTCACGTTAACAAGTCTTAACTGGTTATCCACTGCTCTTCAGACTGAACCCAAAGATTGTTACAGGCTGATGGTATGACTTTCTGTGCTCAGTATGACTCTGTTCCAGCCTGTTATTCTTAAACCAGGGTTATTCTGAGCTATTCAGGAGCACTGACCTTCACATTCCAGGTTTGCTCCTTCCCACTGCCCCCGGGCAGAGCAAACTGATGTAACGTTTCCCCTCACAGGGAGATAGCCGACCCGGCACTGGTACATGACTGTACTTCCATAGCTAGTGTTGACTGGTCGATGTGGCCTTGCATTCGGTAAAGCCGGTGGTGATCCACAGTCCAGAGCTGAAAAGACACAAACCCAAGGTACTTTAGAACATTTCCGCCGATACTGACAAATTGAAAAATTGAAGAACATAAGAACATAAGAACTAGGAGCAGGGGTAGGCCGTCTGGCCCTTTGAGCCTGCTCCGCCATTCAATAAGATCATGGCTGATCTTTTCGTGGACTCAGATCCACCTACCCGCGTTCTCACCGTAACCCTTAATTCCTTTATTGTTCAAAAAAAATCTACCTTTTCTTTAAAAACATTTACTGAAGTAGCGTCAACTACTTCACGGGGCAAGGAATTCCATAGATTAACAACCCTCTGAGTGAAGAAATTCCTTCTCAATTCAGTCCTAAATCTGCTCCCTCTAATCTTGAGGCTATGCCCTCTTGTCCTAGCTTCATCTGCCAGTGGAAACATCCTCTCTACTTCTATCTTATCTATTCCCTTCATAATTTTATATGTTTCTATAAGATCCCCCCTCAATCTTCTGAATTCCAATGAATATAATCCCAATCTACTCAGTCTCTCCTCATAAGCCAAACCCCTCAACTCCGGAATCAACCTAGTGAACCTCCTTTTCACCCCCTCCAGTGCCAATACATCCTTTCTCAAGTAAGGAGACCAAAACTGCACACAGTACTCCAGGTGTGGCCTCAACAGCACCTTGTACAGCTGCAACATAACCTCTCTGCTTTTAATTTCAATCCCTTTAGCAATGAAGGACAAAATTCCATTTGCCTTCCTAATTACTTGTTGTACCTGCAGACCTACCCTCAGATTCATGCACAAGGACACCCAGGTCCCTCTGCAAAGCAGCATGCTGCAACTTTTTACCACTCAAGTAATAACCCTTTTTACTATTACTCCTACCTTCACATTTATTTACATTGTATTCCGTCTGCCAGACCTTTGCCCACTCACTCAATGTATCTATGTTCCTCTGCAAAGTTTCACAGTCCTCTGCACACTTTGCTCTGCCACTCATCTTAGTGTCATCTGCAAACTTTGACACCCTACACGTGGTCCCCAACTCCAAATCATCTATATAAATTGTAAATAATTGCGGTCCCAACACCGATCCCTGAGGCACACCACTAGTCACTGACTGCCAGCTAGAATAGCACTCATTTATCCCCACTCTTTGCTTCCTGTTAGTCAGCCAATCCTCTGTCCATGCTAATACTTTACCCTTAATGCCATGCATCCTTATCTTATGCAGTAGCCTTTTGTGCGGCACCTTGTCGAAGGCCTTTTGGAAATCTAGGTACACCACATCCACTGGGTCCCCATTGTCCACCTCGCTCGTAATGTCTTCATAGAATTCCAAAAGATTTGTCAAGCATGACCTGCCCTTCATGAACCCATGCTGCGTCTGTCCAACGGGGCAATTTCTATCAAGATGCCTTGCTATTTCTTCCTTGATAATAGACTCAAGCATCTTCCCCACTACAGAGGTTAAGCTAACCGGTCTATAATTCCCCATCTTTTGTCTACTTCCCTTTTTAAACAGTGGCATCACATTTGCCGTTTTCCAATCTGCTGGGATGGCCCCCGAGTCCAGCAAATTTTGGAAAATTACCGCCAGCGCACCTGCTATTTCTCCCGCCATCTCTTTTAGTACCCTGGGATGCATTCCATCACGGCCAGGAGACTTATCAATCCTTAGCTCCATTAGCTTGCCCAACACTACCTCTTCCGTAATAATGATTGTTTCCAGGTCCTCACCTACCTTCGTCCCTTTGTCAACTACTGGCATGTTATTAGTGTCCTCCACTGTGAAGACCGATACAAAATACCTGTGCAATGCCTCGGTCATTTCATCATATCCCATAACTAAATTCCCCTTCTCATCCTCTAAAGGGCCAACGTTTACTTTAGCCACTCTTTTCCGTTTTATATATTTATAGAAACTTTTGCTATCTGTCTTTATATTCTGTGCTAGTTTTTTCTCATGTTCTATCTTACTTTTCTTTATAGCTCTTTTTGTGGCTTTCTGTTGACCCTTAAAGTTTTTCCAATCTTCTAGTTTCATGCTGATTTTGGCCACTTTGTATGCCTTCTCTTTCAATTTGATAGCCTCCCTTATTTCTTTAGACACCTATGGCAGATTACCCCTTTTCTTACAGTCCTTCCTTTTCATTGGAATATACTTTTGCTGAGCACTTCGAAAAATGCTGAGCCTCTCCACGACATTTAACCTGGTGAAGAAGAGAACTAGCCTAAGAGCTACGAATCTATAGCATATAGAGACTGGATTTTACACCCTGGTCCCTACTCCTGGAATAAAAACCAGGCCAAAGGCTGCCTACTCCCACAGTCACTTCAAGGCCATTTGCCATTTAATTGGCTTGATACTAAAATACCACCACCCTCCAGGAGGAAATCTTATCCCTGGGAAGCTTCTTTCGGCTAGAAACGAAAAATGGTAGAGATCACAGTGAGTCAGACAGCATCCATGGAGAGAGACAGCAAACTAACATTTGGAGTCTCAATGACTCTTTATCAGAACTGAAATGAAATGTGAAGGAGGCATCATTTATGCTATACTGGGGGGGCGCGGTAGGTAGGACATTGATTATTCAGATTAAGTGATTAGAATGTGAGAAAGGCAGAACAATGGTGTGTCTAACTGCCAGATTGGAAAGAACAGACAGTCCCACTGGGGTGGGGGAGAGGAGAGAGGGTGAGAGAGAATGAAGCAAGCTAAGCTAAAATAAGGGGAAGCAATTGATTCATAATTCAAAGGTGTTGAACTCAATATTGAACCCAGAAGGTTCCAAACTGCCTAGTTTTTGATGATGAGATGTGGCTTCTCCAGTCCAGATTATTGATCTAGGAGGGCAATCAACTGAATCTAATAGTCTCTAGCCCAAGACAGCTTTTACACCTGGGGCTACCTAGCGCAGGCAGTACCAGGCCTACCGGATATTCAAAATTAATTGAAATCCATTCACAGATATACCTGACATTCAACCTCAATCCATTCACATATTCTCTAATGACTGGAAAACCAACTAACTTCAGAAGGAAACACCAGTAACACAATGAAAAGCACACCTCCTGAACAAAAGCTACCAGACACAGGCCTGTTCCAAATCCAGAGAACCGATGGCAACAGTCCACGACCAGCAGGACCAAAGACTGCCATCTCTACAAACTAATGACCTGACTGACACTACAAGTCCTCAGAGACATCCTGAGATGAAAACCAGACCCATAAAACCAGCAGAAACTAAAAAAAAAAAAAAAAATCCAGGTACGTAACCAATAGATCCAACATGCACCTTATCGGATCTGCGGACGTACCCCAAACTGAAAAGCCTACAACAGCCCAAAGTCTTCACCAAGGTTCTGGGTATGGCAAACAGAGACAGCCAGGCATGTTTCAAAACCGCGTTTTCTCAGTGGTGAGCTTAAACTCCCAGGACTCCAAAGTTCTGACCTAGCTAGCAGGAGGGGAAGATAGGTGGTGACAGTGCATTGGGACCTCAGAGTAAGAAGTCTGATTACAGATTCTGTGAATAAAACTGTTGCTTTCTACGAGTGTCTGTAGGATAAGGTTCTATAGTGTTAATCTAGCTAATAGAGTATTTAGTGGTACTGTGTCCTCTGTATAATTAATTGTGTCAATTTCCTTGTTTATTGCATTTATCTATTTTCTTGTAATATACTTACATTTGTATTTTTAAAAAAATACAGAAATTATTTTGCCCTGAAACACACGTCTCCTGCCTCTTCATTTCACATTCTCCAAATACGTCCAGCGCCCAGAACCAGGGGTCCAGGGGTGATTCAAACCACTTAAAAATCAGAAAAGAACTGATTGCAAACTAGAACTGTACAAAAGGAGGCTTGACAGGCAGAATGGCCTGCCCCTGCTCCTACGTTTTAAGTCACATTAACAAGTCTTAACTGGTTATCCACTGCTCTTCAGACTGAACCCAAAGATTGTTACAGGCTGATGGTATGACTTTCTGTGCTCAGTATGACTCTGTTCCAGCCTGTTATTCTTAAACCAGGGTTATTCTGAGCTATTCAGGAGCACTGACCTTCACATTCCAGGTTTGCTCCTTCCCACTGCCCCCGGGCAGAGCAAACTGATGTAACGTTTCCCCTCACAGGGACATAGCCGACCCAGCACTGGTACATGACTGTACTTCCATAGGTAGTGTTGACTGGTCGATGAGTCAGTGCGTTCAGTAAAACCGGTGGTGATCCACAGTCCAGAGCTGAGGAGACACAAACCCAAGGTATTCGAGAACATTTCCACTGATACTGACAAATTTAAGAACCAGTGCTGAGCCTCTCCACCGCATTTAACCTGATGAAGAAGAGAACTAGAGCTATGAATCTATCGACTGGATTTTACACAATGGTTGGCCTGAGAGAATAAACCAGGCCAGAGCCTGCCTACTCTCACAGACACTTCATGGCCATTTGCCATTTAATTGGCTTGAGGCTGACCTACCGCGTCCCTCTGGGAGGAAATCCTGTCCCTGGCACAGCTTCAAATGGCTAGAAGCTCTCTTGTCCGAACAGCTGTTGCAACACATTCAAATGTGGGTTCTTAAGGTCTTTGTACAAATTCAGGCCAGAGTTCTATTACTGTTAAACAACTTTTGGTAATTTACTAAGACCATAAGATATTGAAGCAGGAGTAGGCCATTCAGCCCATCAAATCTGCTCTGCATTCAATAAAATCCTGGCTGATCTGATAATCCTCAACTCCACTTTCCGCCCTTTTCTCTATAACCCTCAATTCCCTCACTGATTAAAAACTGTACGCCTCAATCTTGAGTATCTTGACTTACCCAACTTCAACAACCCTCTGTGGCAAAGAACTCCACTACCCTCTGAGGGAAGAAATACCTTCTCACCTTTGCCTCAAATGTGCGACTCCTTATTCGGAGATTATGCCTCTCTGGTCCTAGACTCCCCCACAAGGGGGAGCAACCTTTCTGCATCTATCCTGTCAAGTCTTCCAAGAATCATGTATGTTTCAATAAGGTCACCTCTCACTTTTCTAAATTCCAGTAAGTAAAGACCTAACCTATTCAATGTCTCCTTGTACGACTGACTCTCCATACCTAAGATGAGCCTGGTGAACCTTCTCTGGACTGGCTCCAATACAAGTATCTCTTTTCTAAAATGAGCAACATATTTTGAGCTATAGGCTGCAGCTCACATCCTTTGAGCTGGGGGGATGAGCATGGAATTCACTTCCTTTGGGCAAGAGTTGGAGTTCATCCTTGTTGGAGTTGGTTCAGCACACACCCTGTGCAGGACAGGGGGCTAGTGAGGCAGTTCACACCCTGTGGGACTGGCAGAGCTGGATGCTTGGTGCCAGTGACCCTTGCAATGGTTAAAAGCCTGCCATGACAGGAATTCCTCAAGTGGCCATCTTGGAACAATAAGTCACTGTAAATGGATTTTTATAAGCTTGGTGCATTCAAACACACTTTTCATTTTAAAAAAAAGACAACAATGATAAGTAATTAAACTGCTCAATTTGTAGCTTGTCTAGATGGTAAAGAAACAACTTGATATTCTCTCTCAGCAATCAAAAGAACATCACACTCATTATACTAGAAACCTTCTGATTCTGTGTTTGTCAACAGTGGGATCAAAGCTATAGGCTGTCTTGAGATGTACTTCAGAGACAAGGTGCAGCATAGATTGTCAGGCTTTTCAAAGATGTTCACTGAGACCAAAAAGCCACGAATTTGGAAAATCAAACTTGAAGTAAAACAACTACTGATGCGAGAAAATGCAATGTGTTTTTCAGTTTTGCTTCATTACCATTTCCTGCTCTCGGATGCTGTCTGACCTGCTGTGATTTTCCAGCTCCACATTTTTTGAACACAGCAAAATGTTCAGACAGTTCATTTGAGTGGCTGCCATCACTGAATCTACAATCATAACAATTGTGTACTTTGTGTTTACTTTATTGCAGAATAATGAAGCTTAACAATTATATTAGAGCTCATCTCAATTAATGTTCAATTAGTCTGTCTTCTAGGAAATTGAAGACGTGTTGATGCAAAAGATGCATATATACATTACTGATTAGAAGAGAATATTAGTGTAACGTTAGTCTGAAAATGCTACAGTTGAAGCAAACATCAGGCCCTGTGAGTCAACACCCACATTTCCTTTCATGGGGAATATAGAATAAGGTAGCGTTATCTTAAAGTTAGAGCTCAGCCATTCAGCAGTGATGTCAGGAAGTACTTCTTCACACAGGTGGTAGTGGAAATCTGGAACTCTATCCCCCCCAGTGCACTGTTGAGGCTGGGATATTAATTGAAAGTGTTAAAACTGAGATTGATGTTAGGCAAAGGTAATAGCAAAAAATGCTCTTCCAATAATGATTCTAAATAGTTTCTTGTATTGGAATTATACAGTAATTTGAATTGAGAAACTTAAATAAATCGGGGAAGTGGGAACTCAATGCAAAAATTAGATTATTGATTTATTTAAATTAAATAACTCGCAATTAAGAGGAGTGGATTCTATTCCAGAAAGGCAGCTGCTTTGATGCCAAGAATTGCTCGATCACCGTAGCTTTAATCCTGAACTGTTTGTTACAAGAAATACCAAGGTGTAGAGCTGGATGAACACAGCAGGCCAAGCAGCATCAGAGGAGCAGGAAGGCTGACGTTTCGGGCTTAGACCCTTCTTC